GCCGCGCGCCGCCCGCGCCGGAACAGGACCCGCACACTGCGGGCGGCGCGCGGCCTGGCTCCACCCGGGCTGGGGGAGAAAGGAGGGCCCCAGGCGCCCAGCATCACTGTTCAAGGCGGCTTCGCAAGGTGAGGGGACCGAGGCCCTCCCTGCGGGAGCTGAAGCCACAACCCAGCTCCGGGTTCATCCTCATCTTCGCCGCCCGCTCGCGGGACCCACTCGGGACTCGCGGCCGCGCTCGCCCTTCCAGCCCTGCCCCCGGCCGCGCCGCGCGGGGTAGAAATCTGCCCGGCAACAGGTGACTCATGGAGCCGAGCGCACGGGGATTGGCGGGACAGGGGCGGGGCCACCGTCACCCCGCCCTCTTCCCAGCCCGCACTTGGGTCCCGGGCTTCCGGCGGGGGGTGGGGGGCGTCTCCCAGGGTGCTGGTCAGCGCGTTTCCGGGCGCTGCCCGTTTCCCAGGAGCCCGTGCGCCGCCCCCCGACCCGACCCAGGCAAGCACTCGGCCTTTCTGAGCCACTGAAGCCGACGCCCTCCTCGTGGGGCTGCTGTGGGAGCCAGGAGACAAAGTGCGAGGCACAGAGTGCCTGACACAAAGTCCTCACGGCGCGCACGAGGTGCAGTAGGAGTAGGACAGAAAGCGCGAAGGGTCACTTTTAAAATGCGTAACGGACCTGGGCCTGGTGTTGCAAGCCCATAATCCCAGCACTCAGGAAGCTGAGGCAGGAGGGTCTAGTGACAGTAAAGCCCTGGTCCACCTCGGAATCCTCCCCTTGCTTGCCGGGCCTGGTCCCATCCTGCAGCAACTCTGGCGTCCTCTTTCCTGCCTGCCTCTGGTGTGCTGTCCTGGCAGCCATGATGTCCCCAGTGGATTCTAGGCTTTGACCTTGCCTGGTCATTGTAACCCTGGGGAAGATCTGGAGATCACACGGTGCCAGATCTCACCCTGAATGAGGTGGCTAAGGACACACTGTAGTGGTTTTGTTCTTGTCTTTTTGCGACAGGTTCTCGCTGTGTAGTTCAGGCTGGCTTCGAGCTCATTCTTGTAGCCCAGGCTGGTGTTGAACTCGCAGTGATCCTCCTGCCTCAGCCTGGGATCACAGGAGGCTGCCCAGCATGTCTGTACTGTCACCACTCCACCTGCAGGAGCCTTCTGCCCCACCTGCCCTGTGTCCCCAGGGTGGACACTGCGTTGCAGCACCGCTCCCCCTACCCTGCATGCTTTACCCACCCGCTCCAGGCCCAGAGGTTCAGCCGGGCTCCCGGTGTCCTGAGGTCCCCCCTGCCCTGCCCCACTCCCTCCCCTTTGTCTCAGGCCGATGGACTTGGGTGGAGCCCAGGGCATGGGGACCCTGACAGGCATGGAAATGCGCCTGGGCACTCCTAGCTGTTGCCTTGACCATGCCCATCTGGCAGTGCCGCCCTCCCTGGTAAGGGTGACCTCAGGGAGAACGTGGGTGCCACTATCACCGTGAAGCCAGGCCCTCAGAGGGGAAGAGCTTGGGCCCTGCAGGACGTGGGGTGGCATGGAGCAGCCTGGCCAGCACAGGCAGCAGGGGCACTGTGGGGACGGTGGATAGGCGGGTGGTAGGCACAGCAAGGTCCTCTGGCTTGTCCACTGCAGGAGGGGACAACAGAGGGCCACGGAGCATCCTGAGCGCCTCCCTGTGCCAGCCTGCAACACCCTGTCTGGCCTGGCCAGGGGACCTGGGATCTGCACCCGCCTCACCATCCCCAGCTAGGAACTTGAGACCTGGCACCAGCTCTCTACCCTGTGAGATGTCCAGGCTTCCCAGCGTGTGGTCAGTGGAGGACAAATCCCAGGCCTCTGGGCCCAAGCGTCATCTCGCCACAGGACCCATTCACCCGCCCAGCCCTCTCCAAGCCTCACGAGAACAGATGTCTCTGTGGGAGCCCTGGAGCCCTGGAGCCCTGGAGCCCTGTCCGGCACCAGTGGGCACCCCCTTGACTGTACACAGTGTGGAGCACCCACCAGCACGGCCCTCACACAACCCTGCACGGGGACCCTGAAGCAGCTGCGGTGGGGGGACTTGGTCACAGGGCAGAGGGAGCAGGCGCAGGCAAGCTCGCAGGGTGCGCAGCAGCCCTGAAAAGGGCCTTGCACTGCAGCCCAAAGCCCACACCACATACCCAGGTCAGGGGAGCACCCTCAACCAACACCAGCAAGGCCCCAAGTCCACACTGGAGAGCTCACCAGGACACTGGTTTAACGTATAAAATTATATGAACTATTTATGAAATTATCTCCACTGTGTGAGGTGTCTGGGAAGCATAAAGGACTCTGGTGTGGGACATGGGTCCCCTCCCCAGCTCACAGTGTATATCCGGATGTCCTAAATCCAAATGGTGTGACCTCAAACACTTCCGACTGCAACACAGACACCTGCATTGCTCGGCAGGACCCGCAGCCCCGAGATACCGCCCTCATCTCAGGTGAGGAAGCCGAGGCTGGGAGCAGCCGTCTCATCCAGTTCTGAGGTGGCAGACAGACCAGCACCTGCGCAGCTGTGTTCCAAAGTGCAGAGCCACGCTGGACCCTCTACCAGCACACTAGGGCTCTGCAGGCCAGGGTCGGGGGTCAAACAGGACAGGCAGAGCCCACCCGGGGCAGAACAGTGCTCCCCACGCCTGCATGCTGCAGCCCAGGGAGCCACAAGGGGCTCAGGTGGAAGAGGTCAGCCTGGATGGAGCAGAGGATCCAGGAAGACGTCCAGCCCAAGGGCCATCCACACTGCAGAGGGAAAGCAGGCGGTGACACTGAGGGCTGGAGCACCTGCAGCCAGGTGGGAGCAGGAGGCTGTGCCCCAGCTGCACCCTCTCTGCCACCCTTGTCCCTGGACCCCTCTGGAACTACATCTGACTGTGGAACCAGCCTCCTGCCCGTTCAGCAAGGCCTCCACCACCCATCTTCACCCAGCTGGGTGGTTCGCAAGGGGCAGGGGCTCCTCTATACACGTGTGGGGGCTGCATTCAGGGGCACTCAGACCTAGCCAGGCCACAGGGCCACTCCAGCCTCATCCACAACACAGAAGGCCAAGGCATGACCATGAGGGTTAATAAACAGCTTTATTTACCTTGTACAGCGTTCACGTCCTTACATTCTCAATTAATTTTGCCATTAAAGTGCCAGAAATGTTTTAAATCATAACATTTGTTAAAAGAAATCAGAACTACCATCAGGAGCATGCTGGTCATGGATGGAACGTTTCTCTTACAGAACACAGGATGGGACCCCCTCATGTCCAGCTGCGGGCTGAGTAACTCACACCCAGATCCTAGTTCCCTCCCTCCTGACACCAAGATGGCCGGGACCATCACCCACCACCAGGGAGCTGTGGGGAGCACAGCAGACGCCCGGCAGCTGCCAGCTGTTGGGGCCGCATGGGCTGTGGCCGTTGGCAGAGATCCCATCCCAGGAGGGTGACAACTCAGCCCCCACTGCTTCCCCCCTCCCTCACCAAAAGCCCCGAAAGTCATTACAATATAGAACAGTGGGTGTCCGTTTCCCCAACACTAAAAATGTTTGGTACAAATGAGGATAATAAACACAAAAGCTTGCTTAGTAAACAGGAGCTCTCAGCGTTCAATGCAAAAAAAAACCAAGAGAAAGAAAACTGAAATCTTAAGGCAAATACTGCTGGCTCTGCCCAGGGCCGGCAAACTGAACCTCACGGAGCGTGCTGTCCAGGAGTTCAGGCGGCGGTCATGCCAGGGCCGCCACTGGTGCCGGGAGAGGCTGGCTCTGCACTCTGGGGTTTGTTTCCACAGCACTTGCAGGCTGGGTCTACACAGGTGTGCACAAGTGTGGCGGCTACTCCTTCTTCAGCTACTCCTTCTTGGCAGACACCGCCAGCTCCACATCTGGAAGCTGGACACCCACCTTCGTCCCACTGTCATTGCTGGAGGAGGAGGACAGTCGGGACTTCTTTGAGGCCAAGGACGCGCCACTGCCCTGCAACTTGCCTGCTTCCTCGTCACTCCCGGTCACCTCATAGTGACCTTTGCTCTTCGACCCCAACCCGCCAAAGGTACCGAATTTCAGCTTGCCATGTTTGCCTTTCACCCGCCCTCCTTCCACAGACAGCTCCCCGCCCTCGAACTCCAGAGTCCCCGTCGGGGTGGAAGGCCCAGCGAGCTCCCGGTCCTCACTGAAGGAGCTCGAGCGGTGCCTCGGCTTCTTGCTCTTAAACAGAGAGAACTTGCCTTTGGGGGACGACGTCTCCACCTCCACTTCTCCCTCCAGGGACCCCAGGCTGGCCTTGGAGCTCTTCAGGTCCCCTTTGGACCCAGAGATGGACGCCTCTGGCGAGCCTGCAGCGCTGCCCTTGCCCTTGCCCTTGGAGAAGGTGAACTTTGGCATCTTGATCTTGGACTTCTTCAGCTTAACCTCAGACTCTTCCCATTCACCTTCCATGGCACCAGCGTGCCCAGCAGCCTCCGCCTCAGGAAACGTGACGTCCACGCCCACCTCTCGGCCAACCAGCTCCCGGCCAGAGAAAGTGAACTTGGGGATCTTCATCTTGGGGAATGTCACTCTTCCGGACCCGCTCTCCATGTGGCCCTGGGGCCCAGACACACCCAGCCCAAGCTCGCCCCCTTTCACACCTCCTTCCAACTTTGGTCCGTGAGAGCCTGCACTGAGAGCTGAGGAGACTTGCGGTCCCCGCCACTCTGCCCCGGAGCCTTTGACACTGAGATGCCCCTCACCCAGGCTGAGATCAGGGCTGCCAATACCCCCTGACACATCCACACCACCTTTGACTTTCGGGCCCTTCAGGCTGACACTGAAATCTGACTCTGGGGAGAATGCGCTGAAGGCAGGCCCCCTGACACTGACCTCAGGTGTGGCCCCATGGAGATCCATCCCGGAGCCCTTCAGGCCACCTGTGATGTCAGGACCAGCAGTCTGCCCCGTTGGGAGCGTCATCGTCACACCAGGCAGGGCCACTCCACCTCCAGAGGCCATCACTCCAGGCACCTGCAGGTTTCCCTCTAGGCCTTGAACGCTGACTCCCGGAAGAACCCCTTTCACCTCTCCAGTGGCCCCAAGGCTCCCTGTCATTTTTGGTCCCCGCAAATTAAAGTCCACGTCAGATGCAGAGAGCTGTGGCCCTGTCAGGCTCACATCCACACCCTGCCCCTTGAGGTCTCCCCTGACTTGTGCCCCCTTGACGCCAACATCCACATCAGACCCTGGCGTGGAGATGGCAAACTGAGGAAGCTTCATTTGGGGAAGATTAATTCCGACTTCTGGTGTCTCCACATTCAGGTCCCCAGCGCCCATGGAGATCTTAGGACCCTTGATGTCACCTGAGACGGCCAGGTCTCTCTGTAGGCTTGGTCCCTTCAGTGTCACATCTGGGGCCCCAACCTCGACGCCTGGCACTTTCACACCATCTCCCCACATCTGCACCTTCCCGGCACCGCCTCCAAGGGCAAGGCCTGGGCCCTGCACCTTCACACCAGGACTGGAGGCGTCCAGCTCTCCCTTCAAACTTGGTCCTTTCACATTCAGATCAAGGTCAGGCCCAGAGACTTCAGGCATAGAGAGGCTCATGGAAGGCAGATCCACACCCGGCCCCACAAGCGCAACCTTGGGCCCTTGGAGCCTGACATCCGGAGTACCCAGGCCTCCCTCAAGAGAGGGCAGCTGGACCCCACCCTCAGCACCCCCACCCTCCACACTAACACCAGGGATGCCAACCTTGGGCACTGAAAACTTGGGGAACTTGATTTTTGCTTCTGGACCTTGCAGATCTACGCCTGGTCCTTGGAGTCCCACACTGGGGATGTCACCCTTTATCTTTGGTCCTTTCAAGTCAACATTCACACCAGGCATGGAGGCCTGTGGGGTGGAAATACCAAAAGACGGTGCTTTGACTTTGGAATCTGGGCCTTCGATGGTAACGTCAGGTGCCCCTAACTTGGCCTGCACCTTGGGGCCTTTCAAGTCCCCTTCTATCTTCGGCCCTGAGATGTCTACTGCTGGCATCTTGAGCGTGGGAGCCTTCACTGTAACATCTGGACCCTCCACATTGATCCCGGGTGAAGAGAGGTCCAGATCTGGTATGTGGATTGCACCCTCCATCTTGGGGCTGGGGAGGGGGGCCTCAGCTTTAAATTTCGGTGATTTAATGTCAAACTCTACATCTGGAAAGTACATTTTCCCAAACATAGTCTTCTTGGTTCTGGGAGATTTTGCATCAACTTTCAGTGCACCATGTGGGCCAGCAACACTGACATCCACCTCGGGGGCCTTGAGGCCGGCGTCAATTTCACCCCCGGCAGCATTCAGATCAAAGCCCTGCTTCTTGGCCTTCACCTTAGGGCCACTCATGTGCAGCTTGGGCATCTTGAACTTGCTGTCCTTGGCGGCGCCGACACCTCCAGCGAGGCCTCGAGGGACTTGCCGGGCGCCGACACGCCGAAGGAGGGCATCTTCAACTTGGGCATCTTGAACTTGCTTTTCTTGCCCTTGCCACCAACACCAACCTCAGGAGTCTCCACACTCAGCTCTGCCTCGGGCAGCGTCACGTCCAGGGAAGGAGGCTTGATGTCAGCTTGAGGGCCTTTTGCTGCAAATCCAAACTTGGGTTTCTTAAACTTGGGAATTTTCACATCTGGCCCCTCAATGTTAACATCTGGGCCCTCCGCGTGCGCATCTAAGCTTGGAGCTTCCAAGTCAACCTTAGGCCCCTTGAGGTCTACTTCACCACCTTCTAATTTGGGACCAGAAACTCCAATTTTAGGCATCTTCAAGTGCAGATCAACATCAGGAACAGTTACTTTAGGAGCGGATATGTCCAGTGATGGCATCTTCAAATTAGGGCCACTGAGTTTGGCATCAGGTCCTTCAAAATCCAGGCCTGGGCCCTTAAGATCAACCTCGGGGCCTTTGAAAGTACCTTCAACCTTGGGGACAGACACATCAAAATCTCCTTTTACTTTAGGTCCTTTCAAATGTAGGTCAACATCAGGCATGGAGACCTTCGGGGCCTTGATGTTCAGCTCAGGCACCCTGAACTTGGGGCCTTTCAGCTTTCCTTCTGGCCCTTCAATGCTGACATCAGGTCCTTCAATGTCCACCTTGGGCGCTGAGATGTCAACGTCAGCCTTGGGCAGGTTCACATCCACCTCAGGGCCCTCTGCTTTGAAGCC